GGCAATCCTGCGTGAATTCCTACAGGCAATCAAGGGAAAGGTTGAACCTCTTCCTGAGCCACCTGTGTCTTGATTGCCTTCAGCTCCAAACAATCCACATGCCGAAGGGGCAAGTTCTGGGGTGTTGTATTCTCCTCCTCCTCGGCATTCAATTCTTAATCTCAGAATTTAAGAAACCATTAAAATACTGAAGCAGCACAGAGGGTGATGATTTATGTCACAGAAAAATAACAGGATAGTTTGGGGATATCAGAATAGCTACCCAAATATCTGAAAATCATGATAAGGGATTTAGATTTATTCTATATAGCTACAGAGAAAAAAATGGGCAAAATTTTGGTTCAGAGGAATAAAAATAGAATAAAAATAAATGATCAAAAACATATGTAACCTTCTTGGGTATAGAATTCCTGTTGCAGGAAGCCTAAAAGCACAGGCTAGATGGCCAGCATGGGTGAGGAATCAAAGGTGGAAAGAATCCTGGAGGAGATGAGCTCTGAGGGCTTATTTTTTTTTGCCTGATGTCATTTTAATTTGACATGAGAAGTGCCAGTAATTCTTACAATTCTGAAGATCAGATAAAGGACTTAGTAGCAAACTAAATCACTGCGTATGTGGACTGTTTGCGCTCCCTGCTCCCTGCCATGGGCCATGAGGAAGAGCAAATTCAAACAAACACTGATATTAAAATTAGGTTTCAGAGAAAAGGTATTTGAATATCATCACAGGATTTGTACTATATTTGAAATAACATCATTTCAAAGTTGTATTTAAAAAAGAAAGGTTTCTATACCAGTTCCTCTTGAGCAGACATCTGGAAATGTTACTTTTATAGGAACATTATTTTGAACTCAGCGATTGGTTCTGTAAACTCCTAGAGAATCACATGTAATTAGCATATGTTAATGTCTGGAAATTATTGTTGCAGCACCTAGATTTCTTGACAAATTTTCCAAAATGCTTCTGGGTCTGGATACCTGATTGGCTGATTTACTAATGTTCCACCGAAGTATTAATAGCCATATCTGAATTTGCACTTGTACTAAGGTGGGGCAGTGACATGGGACAAGCATCATGATTAATTTTCCCTGCCTAAGATGAAATATGCCAAGATATAAATAGTATAGAAAGAACAAGAGGGACTTCATCTTAAGGCTAAGATTCCACTTGAAAAACCAGGGCATTAGGAGATAAGATGCCTGACATATTCTTTGGTAATCAGCCAATAACTGATCCTATCTTAAGGCAGGGCAAGCAGAACTAACTGATGGGTTCCCAATACTTGAGGGTAACCACTAACTTGGAGAGGAACAGGATCAATAAATTCCTTGTGATAAGTCTATCTTACAGAATTATCTAGAGGACTGACTGTGGATAGTGATGTAAAGTCTCTCATCAAAGAGACATCATGAGACCACATGTCAAGCCTACACCGCCCTCCTGCCCCACTCTACGCCCTATTCTTGAAAGCCCTCGAAGAATCCTAAGCCTTTAAATGCACCTCTTCTCTGAGGCTGCCCACACTCCCCTTCCTTCGAGTGTGTACTTTTTGCCTTAAATAGAGTCTTCTCAATCCTCAAGTTACTGCATTTCATCTGTGTGCTCTCCCAGCGGTAAGCGTCTTTACTTCTTTTCTATTTCATTCAACTTTCTACATTTAGGCACAAGTCTTCAATCTCTGTCCTACTTAAGACAAGTAGAAAAAGGCTCATGAGGTCTCTGATCTGGGCCTGCAGGTTTGTCTGGGTGACCCGGACAGGACTGCAGCCGTAAGAACATGCTCTTCCCTAGCCTGACCTAAAAATCTCCTTTCTACGCTTTGGGAAGTTCTCAGAACATAATCTCACTTCAGCCAGTGATGGGGTTCCCCCAAATCCTAGGGTGGTAGGGACTTAGTTCCCACACCTGCAGATTCAAGTCGACACTGGTCGCCAGGTGACCCCAGGCTTCAGGAGTTGGCAAGGGATCTGTGCTATGCCAAGCAGGAGTTCAGTGTGCTTTCCTTTCCTCCCTCTGTTCTTCCTTGCTCTCTGCTGCCTGCAAGGCTGCTGCCATTCCCTGCTACTCTTGCTGTAATGAATTCCTTCCTTACCTACACTGGTCCGACATATTTGAGAATTCTTTCTGGTTCAGAGTCAAGAACCCTCCCCCGTCCAGGTTGACATTCCACCTGGTGCGCAGAGAGAGACCTTCCCAGACGCTGCTGTCTGACAAAACTGGCAAATTAAGTCATGCATATGTGTTTCTACAAATGTGTATATATGTACGATTTAACATGATAGAGGGTCAAATTTAAGACAAATCTGGGGTGGACATGAAATTTCCAATTTAGAAGAAACTTTAAATCATAACATGTCTTTTCTTTCTCATACATACAATTCTCCTGAGATCTCTGTCCATAATTTCCCAAAGTGGGCTGCTCTAACTAAAAGGGACATGAGTGCTGTAGTTCATTATAAATGTTTATCTATGGGTATAAAGTCTGCAACCTCCACATGTTTTTATGTGGAATATGATCAGATTGTAAAGGACCTCCCAAACTGACATATCACAGGTTAGTGGATGTTCCTGTTATCTATTCTGCTGGTGTGTTTTGTGTAGATACTAATTCTGGTCTTTTTGTCTTCAGGAATCTATACAAATCTTTTAAAATTAAATCCACCTGCCAAATTGCTTTTTCCAAAATGAAGCATGGCTAAATTTAAATTTCATTTGGATTCTTTTTCATGTATTGTGGTAATTACTCCTCATATTAAAGTTCCATTCTTTTCATCCTGAAATCAATTGCTATATATTCATTCTTTGGAATGCTATTGGTATAAGGACAATTGCCATCATCATTAGCCATAAACCATATTATTATCTAATTATCTCAGATTTTTACTTGACATGTTTATGATTATCTGCCTGACAGCCCATATTCTTTTTTATTTTCTCAATCCAATGCCTCGATTAGTTGTATCAAGGTAAACTTCTATGTGTGTGTGTGTGTGTGTGTGTGTGTGTGTGTGTGTGTGTGTGTGTGTGCGTGTGTGCGTGTGTGTGTGTGTGTGCATACTTCCCCTAGGATTTTTGAACAGCTGTACATCGTTTTCTCTTGGACTTCTTCCCTCTATGCTATTGTAGAGGAGGAAAAATAATTTGCCCTCGATCCTTCTAGCTTCTTGGCTGAGCACCCCCAGTAATAAAAGACAGATTAACAGGAGAAAAACAAACAAGTTCAGTGACATGTGTCCCTCTTGCATACATGAGAGAAACCCAGGACAGCTGAGTGCCTCCCTGAGATGGCAGAGCCACCACCTTAAATATTATCCCCGGCTAAAGACCAAAGAAGATTTGGGGGCAGAAAGCCAGGAATGCTTATTATGCAAATTTAAGTCTTTGTCTTTTCCATTGATGAGTTTCTAGATATTTAGACATCCTTCTCTTCCAGGTACAGAGGAGACACCCTCACAGATGGAGATTTGCCTTCTACATTTAAATGACTCTTACCAAAGAGTAACTTCTATTTAGGTGTCAGAGCTTCTCCCTTGTCTGCTGTTTTTTTTTTTTTTTTTAAAAAAAACAGCTTAAAATACTCCTTATGCCAAAAAAGCATATTTTTTGGATGGCATATTCTGCTCCCCTTCACCCTGGATTTATGGTCTGGGATAGCAAATCATGATAAGCATAACCCTTGAAGGATGTATTCATTTAGCAACTGTTTGATGGAACATCTGTATTATCAGGCATGGTTCCAAATGCTGGGGACACTGCAGAGAACAAAACTGACAATAGTTCTTTTCAAGAAGGAATTTATATTCCAGTGGGAATATAGGGAAACAGACAATGAACAAAATAAATACATAAAATACATTGTACATCAGATCATTTAAGGGGAGTAGAATTTATCACCAAAATATGCCTCTTCAGCATAAGAATTACCTTGAGCTGATAATTTTTAAGAAACAGCAGATGCAGGAGATACCCTATTGATTCTGATTTTGGGGACAAAAAGAAAATGCATTAACCCAAAGTGTAAATTTTTCTATTTGTACATCTGTGAGTGTTTAGAATTCTATGTATATATGATTCAAAACAGCAAATCCATTGGGCACATATGATGTTCAAAGCACAGTACTTATGACTATAAATAAAGCGGACACAATCTCCTTATTAAAATCACAATCCAGTGAAAATGAAAGACATTGAAAATACAGACACATAAACAGATTTTAAACATTTTAAGTATCTGAATATGTTAAAACAAAATATATTGAAAATCTATAATGATTGTTCTCCCTTATAATTGGGGAAAATACAATGTTGACTTTCCTGTTTTTCTTCTTTTATTGCAAGGTTGGGTTGAATATGGGATCGTTTTTTGCATACTGAAAGGAAAATATTACTGAGTAAAAGAACTGTGTTTACAACCATTTGGACAGTATTTCACTGTGATATTTGGCAACGCTCCTACGGTTAACTGAATAGTCTTTGAGATAATATTCAATCTCAGTAATTTTATAATTCTAGGTGGTCTTTAAAAAATGAAATATTAACATTGTCATGTCATATTTAATGAAATATAAGAAAGGGATGTGAGTATACTTAATTTTTCAAAATAAATTTTTAAAACATGTGAACACAATGTAAGTATTAGAGTTAGTCAAAGTTTCTAATACTAGAAGATTCCAGGAGTATTTATTTAGAAATTTTATAATTATTCTAAAACAGGTGAAGGCAGAAATATGCAACTCCCATGACAAAGTAGAATTTTCCCTTGTCTGATCACTTTCATCATCATATAGCCTTAATCTGATAGACATTTTTGTCCTGAATATTCTAATATGGTTTCCAGAAATTAGAATCATAGAATTTTAAAGCATGTAATTCATTTAAATCATATAATTTAAAGCAGCTATTGATATATAATATTGCAATATTTTTGCTTATACCTATGCAGTTTTTAAACTTTAAAAGAAATAATACTGCTGATCTTATCCAATCATAGAGGTACCTGTTGTTATAAGTGAGATGTATGGCCCTCCAGCGTGCTTCCATGTAGATAACTACAAAAGAAAAAACATAAAATCACTTTATAAGCATAACTCTTCGAATTTGTGCTAATTTTCTATTGCCTAATAAGGCTTCCTTTTTAGCCCTTTTATCTAAAAATGTGTCTCACTGATCATCCTTCATTAATACTCTTTTGCAATGAATTCCTTATATTCCTATTAATAACAGAGACTTACATTCCTCTCTAGGAATACATGTGAGCTTTGAGTTGCTTGACAATGCTTATTCCAATGCTGAGGCTCTATTATAGGCATTTCTGAATCTATCAGAGGTCAATGGGGAAAATATTTAACATTTGATAAAACCATCAACCCTTCTAATTTCACAGAATCAAAACAACACACTTAATAAGGCTATGCAAAGATAAGATCTCCAATTCTGTAAGGTCCAAAGTTATTTGAGCCCCACTTCTCTCTACTCCTGGAAAATGTGGGCATGCATATTCACACCCACTACAAGAAAAATGAAATCTGATCCTTTAGAGTAGAAAACTAGGAAGTTTTTATTCCATTTCCCCAAAAGTTGGTGTTCTCAATTATAGTTTAATCTATTACATTGATGTTTATTATGTTAAATTTAATTGACTTAAATTGAACTGGAAGTGGGACAGTGCCACATATAACACAGGGAGCATCCAAGCCTTTCTGAGCTCTGTTTGTCTGGCCTTGCAGAGAACCATCCTTAGGGTGTGGTTACGTGTGTCTTTCCCTGCCTGACGTAGGAGCCTGTTGAAGGTAAGAATTGCATAGTTTTCATCTTTAAATTCCCTCATTTTCAGCATAGATCCTGATACACAGGGGCTCAAAAAATGTTTGTTGAATGAAGTCCAATGGAAAACAAAACCACAATGTATTTTGGTTGGTCCCAGACTTTATAAATCTGAGTCTATAATTGCTACTATTCAGAAAGTCGAGGTATTTCCCATTATAGGAAATTCTTAAGCATAATTCTAAAGCATCTCATGTTCCATTTACTTTACTGCTCACCTAGAACAAACAAATCAACCAATGCTACACTTTAAAGACAAATGCTTGAAATTGTAGTTTAAAACTTCTATATTTTAGGAATATTATAAGACAAATGGATGAAAATAAATACTTAATTGGCTTTACCAGAAGCTTGAGACTCCAAAAATATTTTTCAGTAGAGTCAAATGGTCTGTGGAATATTTTTGGTAACTACAGTTGTAATTAGCACTTTGTTACAAGGGAGCAATCTTTGATTTATATACAGTTAAAAAGGGAAGATTGGCTGTAGCTGAATTCACGAAGAAGATACTGCATGAGGTGGTTATCCTAGGTCTGGAGCGGATTTATGTGATATGGTAGTAATTAAATGTAGTGGAAATACCAGGTCAATTAAGGGAAAAGCTGGGGAAACAAAGAATAAAAGTTTAAGCGTAATATTTTTTCCAAAACTTATGCTCGTTTTAACAACTCTCTTCCACATTACAGAAAAATAACTTCGTAAGCCAAAGTTCATATATAGAGATTGAAGAATTATTTCCAAAAGAGACAGAAACAGAATAAGAAATTTAAGACTTTCCATAAAAACATTCTGACAAAGAGATTTAAAGGACAATGTAATAATTTAAAGGACAAAAATAATCATCTTACAAGTGTAACTCTTCCAAGATTGACATTGTTTAGATTCCTTCCTTCAAAGTCTGATGTCACACTTCTGTGTATTTATACCCACACTTATGTAGTTTTTGGTGTGTATAAATATGAATCTGAAGAACCTAGGAGGGAGGAACAGAAAAAGAAAGATGGGAGATCGGGACAGAATGACAGAGCAAGACACTCAGAGATTTTTGGTGTCTCAGCGGCCCAAATGCCTGAGTCACTGGGATTGCCCGCGAACTGTGCCGCACCCAACAGGAGCACAGACTCAAGGGGCATTTTCCCTTCTTCACTGTCTGGAATTCTTAAAATGCAGGGTTATGTATCTATCCAAAATATTGCATTCTGATATAAACTTATGAAAGTGGAAGACAAGGCAGGATAATGTGATTAAAAGCTAAAGTAAAATTAGATGCAGAAGTCATAATACCAGTACATTTTCAGTTCTTCAATGATTTTCAAAGAAAGAAAAAAAATAGCGAAATTATCTCATTGTGCATTACTCTTAAATTTGCTGCCAGTCTGCAAAAGTAGTCATTTCTAAGGCTTACCAGACTTTTTCTTAACTACTTTTCCAAGTTTCTGGTGATAGTTAGCAGATAGACATGTAGAAGCTCTGTTTTCTACTAGAAACATAACTACTAAGGCACTTTAAGATTCCAGGCAGAAATTTTTCTCCAATAAATCACTAGGTCATATGCTCCCCAATTAAAGAGAAACAGACATAACCTCAGAATGGCAAGTGACAATAATGACAGGGGAATCTATGGTGTGATCCCCATATTAAATACAGAAGAATAAGTAGTAAATATAATAATGCTGTACATTGTAGGTTCTCCTCTCTGTTTATTTTATGAAAGCTTTAGCACAGTAATGTAAATAAAAATTTCAACTTCAACTTCTCCTAGAAATCCAAACATTTTCAACAAAGGAAGGACAGCTGTCCCACACCCTAAAGCCTCATGAGGTTCACTGAAGGTCAGTGCAACCTGAAACCTCCCTGAAGGAAAACAATTTGGGGGATGCTCCCTGGAGATACTGTCCACAATGCATTAATATGTACTGTTTCATCGAACCTGTGGCTGTCTCTTCTGGGGTGGTTCCTTTAGTAATCCACCATTACACTCCACCTGGGCCCCAGCCACTGATTTATCTAAAATTCTTTCTAGTGTCTAAACATTGGATAATACACACACACACACACATACACACACACACACACACACACAAAGCTAACCTGTAATTTTATTAGTAATACTATAAGTAGCAATATTAAGGCATTGGGTGAAATGAGATACCAAAGCTTATATATTGAGGACGAGATGAGATTTGCACATGTGATACAAAACATCCATGGATCCTCTTGATAAAGTTTCCATCATTCTTAGGGACTGAGGTTAAATCAAATGGTGGAGGCTCTAATAATGAGACCACTGACAGGTTTTAAAAAGAAGTCCATTCTAGATGCTTTAACTGGCAGTTCAATCTCTTCTTCCTTGCCTTTTTGCAGAAGATGGCAGACCATTTATAGTGCTCCCAGTGTAGGCAGCTGGGAGAAAAATAGATTCTCTTGACTCACTGTAATGTAAGTCTATGGCCCATAAGGGCATTCCGGGCTGTCCAGGGAACTACTGATTTTTGGGTGTGCACCAAATCTCATTCACTGTTCATGTCACGGGAGCAGTCACACCTTGGTTGGTGGGGAGGATATAAAAACTCTGGAATTTAGGGGATAAAGGTTATATCTAACTATCTTTAACTCCACAAGAGTGTGTCAGGGCCCCCAAGAATTGCAAGGATGGAGGCCTGACCAGGGAGGGCCACGGAAGGCATGTGCTGCGACCAGTCCTCTCAGGCTCACCAAGCCCTGTAATATCTTATTGTGAAACTTTTAGCTATTGTTGGAATTATTTAGCAATTGTGTTTTTTTCCCTTCTTATGAATATAATCAATTGATCAATCAATTAGTCTATTTCTTAGTCTCCAAAGCCCTCCAAGTGACGTTATTTTAGAGTAAAGAAATACCAAGGAACAGATTCACTTTTCTTGGGAATTATTACTCATCAGGAATTATTTATAGAGCAGAGGTGAAGGTTATGTGAACATAGTGTAATACTGGAAATTCACCAAAGGCTACTTTATCCTGAATTTGTTTTAAACCTCAGAGGTATATGACTTAGCCACCTTTATCAAAATATTTTACAGAAGAAAAGAGTGATTTTTAAATTCACCAAGAATGAAAGGACTTTTTGTCCCTGAATGCTTTAGGAAATTTTGGCTGCCCCTTCTTTCTTTACTAGAAAAAAAAAGGAAAAATGATTTTTATGACTTTTCTAGAACTTTAGAGTAGTTCCTTCCATAACTGAGATCATTCCCTAGTGGTCTTTCCATTCAGAAAAACCACAAACATTTTTATGTCTTTTTCCTCATATGAATTTTAATGGAAAACAGTGTCAAAATAAAAAGAAGCTCATACGTAAGCTGTTTTGAAATTGCCATGAGCTCAGTTTCATGGTGTTTTTGACTAAGTTTTCAAAACTGCTCTCTGAATTTGGCCTCAGGGACACTAACATTTAATTAATAACTTTTATAGAGAGGAGTATAAAAATAAATCCCTTCTCCCCTAAGTACCCTGCAACCCACATGCCTCACATTACCTCAGATAACAGCCATATCTGGTTTTTGTGTCAGGAGACAGGACACTTGTGTTCTGGGACAGGAGAAGTGGGTAAAAGGAGTCTGTGCTCCTGTCACACTACACTTCTACGTCTTTCAAGGGCTTTTATCCCACCCCAGTGCTGCCCCTGAGACGAATATAATCTCATGACTTGTTCATGTCCCAGCTGAAACCTACACGGTTTTAAGATTTTTTTCAAACCTCGAACTATTGTAATCAACTTTCCCACTGCAGAGTTCGTTGGCTTAGTGGCTAAAGACATCAATGTTTTTTATTCTAAATGTGTAAAAACTCACAGTCCAAACCATTTATATGTTATACGCTTACTACTGGGTTTCACACATTCTTCTGTGCCTGCACTAAAACATGTTTCATTCGGAAATGCAAAATAAAACATTTTGCGCATTTATCAGCAAGTTAAGCCACCTCCACAGTTAATACTATGGTCAGATCAGATAGAGTCACAACTGATACGGTAGCTGGTTAACACACCTCCCACAGATTACAGCCATGGTAAGAGGGAGCCCCTCTCACACTTGTTTTCCTGAAAATGTGTAGCCCTGATGGTGCTGTAATTTTGAATATTACTTTATGACATCATTCACTTCCTAATATAAATAATAAAACAAATATATTATGCTTTAACAATGTGATATACATCTGGCAAGAATCAGAATTCAAGAATTTCTTTCATTCTGAGGTATTTTGAATGTACCATCTTTTCATGCCACATCAAAACGTAACTGGGATGGTGCTCCACGTGCCAAACTAGACATCTAAGATGTGGACATGCTCCCGGCTAAGTGCCCAGATAAGTATCATCAGAAGGACCTGTGTCAGAGGTCAGAACTGGGAACTCTGGGGCCAAGGTGGCTTTGCAGCCCACATTGAAACCAAGCTGACTACAGAGATAAACATAGGTCAAGCGCATATTCCATCACAGATTCGTAAATTAGAAGCCACTGAGTAAACTGTGAACTGAACAGGATGGCTTACCCACTGAAATTTGACTTTTCACTCAATACTCAGAATGCAACGGGGTGACATCCACCCAGTAAGTCTATGAGGCAGACTGGTGAACGTTTTGCTCTCTGTTAACTTTGTACTAGAAGAGAACAGAAAACTTACCTTGCAGATACTTGTCATAAATATTTCCAATGTCACAGCAGTAAGTTGTAAGATAGCCCATTTTCTAGTTATGGACTAATGCAAGTGTTTTCTTCCCATGAAAGAAGGAAAGATATCATTATCAGAAAATATTGGTATTTCAGAACTGTCAGGAAGTCATAGCCTCATCCAATCTTGCTTCATTTTTCCACACTTAAGTAGGGTTAGGGCCAAAACGTCCACGAGTCACTGCACAACAGAGACAGAAGTGTTAGAACAGAACGTGGAGCCGCAGATACTCACTTTTATGCTGATCCATCTTGCCTCTTAAGTCACTGATGGTCCTAATAGACTGGAAAAGATAACTTCCACTCAATGGATTAAGGCCTTAAGGGGTCTACAGAAAATCTGGACTTAAGAGGCAATAGAAACATTTTGAACTAAATGTCTGTGTTTCTCAAAATCCCTACGGTGAAGCCCTAACTCCCAATGTGATGACATTGGGCGGTGGAGCCTTAGGGAGGTAATTAGGTTTAGACGAAGGCATGAGGGTGGCACCCTCATGATGGGATGCGTGCCCTTCTAAATCAAGGACGCAACACCAGAGCTCTCCTTGTGTGAGGACATAGCCAGAAGACAGCCGCCTGCATGTCAGGAAGAGGGTCCTCACAAAGACCTGACCACACTGGCACTCTGGGCTCCGACTTCCAGCCTCCAGAACTGTGAGAACTGAATATCTGCTGTTCACACCACCCCCGGTCTACAGTCCTTTGCTAGAGCAGCCCAAGGAGACTAAGACCAGCAGTGTTCCCCGAAAAGCATGGGGACCTAAAAAGCAGCATGGGATGGCCTAAAAGCAGCATGAGAAGTCTCCTGCAGGTGTCTACTAAGGAGCATGCCCTCTGCTCCTGCCCTCCATGTCCCCAGAGGCTCCACTCAGACGGGCACTATTTGGCTGTGCATCTGATGACAGGGTTTGGCTGCATGCCCTACACACTGGGCTTGGCATGGCACAGCATCCGGTGAGTACCGCAAAGCCTGCTGAGCACCAATACATCTCCGTCCTGAGAAGCAGCAAATCATGCCTCATAGCACCACGTCTTTTGGGCTACTTCTGGTAAGAAAATATTTTCAAACCAATTTTCTTACTCAAATACTGAAAGATTTTTTAAAAAACAAGTCAAGATCCTTTTATGTAACTTGGATTTGAAAATACTCTAGTTTTTAAATTACTTATGGTAAACAAATTCTCCTGATACAGAAATGTAAGACTATTCTATGCATTATAGCCTGTAGTTCAGTACCACTGGGATTTGGGGAGAAAAAAGAGTTTTGAATAGATACTAGTTAAATCCTGAGCTTAGCAGAAACAATTTAAAAATTGTCTTTTATTTGGCTTTCTTATTTCAGATCCCGATATATTTCCATATCACAAATGTTTCTGGAGAAAAGTATTTTGCCTGAAACACTGCAGTAGGCAAATTGGGAGAATTGAAATAAGAGATGGAGACAATGGAATTACATAACAGATGTGCAATCGAGTGCAAGGAGGCACATATATGATTTTAATTCAAAGGATGTTTGAATATATGCTATATAATGGGCACAAACTAATTTATGGGAATAAAGGGGGAAGTGAGAATATCTCTGAAGAATGCTTTGTTAGAGGAAATATTAGGAAATGTGCAGATTCTTTCATCTGACAATAAGAAAAAATGGAGGTAAGTTATAGAGAAAAATAGCAAAAGCCTGAAAAAGACCAGGTATGTTTGCAGACAGATGTATAAAAATGTGTGCACGCCAGTTACTGAAACAGAGGTAAGGCTGGAAATTAAACGTGTACTTACATATTTATAAAGTTGTTTTTTTTTCTAGTTGGAGGTGGGACCTTATTCTTAGTTGTTAGTAGGAGAGAAATTTGATCAGAGTGCTGATTGAAAAAAATTTCCAGTGGGAGAAAAAGGATAAGTCGAGTTTTAGGAATAATAGTGATGGGAAATAATTGTATCAATCCTTTTACTCATTTTTAAACAGTTATTTATTGTCAACTCCATTATATTAAACTATACTGAATACTATGGTATAAAGTAAATCAAGGAAGAAAACTGAGTTCTGGGCTAGAGGGGGGCAAACGTGGGGTATATGAGAAGGAATGGTGTCAGAGACAAGCACAGGACTCGTCCTGAGCAGGTGGAAGGAGGGAATCGCCGTGAACTGAAACTGAGAAGTCTACAGTGAAAGCAGCTTTGAGGTACAGATATTAGGAACTGGCTTTGGCCATGGTATGTTTTATGTCTTTTAGAAATCCAGGTTGAGATGAGTAAGCAGTTTGTCTCTCTTTCCTCCTGAAAATGCCTTGCTTGCTTTCTTTCACCCTACGGGTGGGACACTTTTCTGGTTACTCCGGAATATGTGCTCTCTGAATGGCAATTTTGAGACCCAAAGTAAAGGCATTTGTTCTGGTTCAGTTTTGCCCCCTTTCCTCGGTTGGCAACATCCATAGACTGGGAACATAGCAGAAGAAAAGTGTTGGACAATTTTGTTTTTGAAGGTGTTTGCTGGCCGAAGGAGGTAAAGAAATAAATAGTGAAATTGTAACAGAAGGAAGACCTTTTTATCAGTGTATGAGCTACACCGATTGTTTTTTGGTTCCTGGACCCAATGCCAGGACATGTGGATGTGGGGGGTTTTCCCATGAGCGACACCAGGCAATCCTTGAACTCCAGCATGGTGTCCAAAGACTCAACACAATTCTGATGCCCTCTTTCTGGAGACAGCACCAGATTCTGCAGGCTAAGGGTTCTGTCCTTCAAGACTGACCTCCAGACGCCAGCAGCAAGCCCCTGGCTGTTCCCTGTGCTTCTGACTAACTGGCTCAGCTTGGAGGTTCTCACAACCTCCCCATTCAGTTTAATTAAATTGTTAGAGTGGCTCACAGAACTCAGGAAAACACTTACATTTACCAGTTTAATAAAGGATACTATGAAGGATAAGTTAACAGCCAGGTGAAGGGGTACAGGGGGCAAGGTCCCAAGCAAAGGACCTTCTCTCCTTGTGAAGCTCAGGAGTTTCTGGGAGGGCCTCACTGCATAGCTGTGACTGACTGAATCACTGGCCAATGGTGAATCAGCCTCCAGCCCCACCCTTGCCTGGGGCCCAGGAGTGTCATTAACAGGGAAAGACACCCATTTCAATTTAAGGCTCTGAAGTGTTTTCAGAACTGAGGTTAAAGACCAAATACACCTGAGAAATACATATTTGGTCATCTGACTCTCCAGTCTCTTTGGAGACCTTTAGTGGATGAATTATAAACATGGTTCTGTGAATAAAATAAGCAATTCAAATTATAGAAAAAGGCACATTATTCTAAATAAAGCTCCTACTAGATGTAATTTGAAAATGTTTCCAGTGATACAGGGATTATGCTATAAACCTTGTAAATGGAATATTAGACATTGTTATTTATAAATTAAAGTTGTTTATGCAATTGCAAAAAATTAGGTTGCAATGGAATATTATGACATTATATAGTACATACTATGTTGATATATTTATAATGATATTCAAAATACATGTGTCTGTGACTGGAACGCAGGGATGGGCTGCAGGAGCAGAAGGGGCCGGGCGTGACTTCTCATCATGGGCACTTCTGAGGGCCCTTCGCCCAGGCCTGATGTGCCCGCTCTTCCCCGACAGACGGAGTTCATTTCCACGTCCTGCTAGAAGCCCAGCTCGGAGGGACACAAATGACTGAAAGAGCTTTAATTATACCCCTCAAAGCCTGAGTGGCTCTATAACCACAACTCAAGAAGAACATATTCTTTCATTCCACAAAGGCTTACTTAAGGCCTCACAGAGGGCAAGTCGGCTTTTGTGCAAATGCCTGCAATAGGCAAATTCTATTATTTTTTTTAAGCACAAGAGTCTTTGGTTCACCACACTTCACTTTGCCCCACTATGTTATTCCCAAGCTAATAAATAATGGAGATTTAGTCACCACTGCTTTTTCCTAAAACTACATAAGAACAGTAAGATTCTCTAGAAAAAGACATGGCCTATAGGCCTTTATGAAGTCATTTCTGGCTGTAAGCACCAGAGGCTTAGCTTTAAGAACTCCCCAGAGAGAAGGGAGACACTTCTACTGTACTATCCAAGCTCCCTGAGAAACTAAATCTCATCACTGAAATATTATCTAGGCCCCGTCTGGTAGAGGGAAGGATCAGCTGCGTCCAGCATGTTGGCAAGTATTGTTTCTCAAAGTCATTTTTTTCTGCCCTTATCCTGCATATTGTGTGATTTTTTTTATCTCACCAGCACAAAAAAAGGGAAATGTACTTTCAGTTTTGACTGTAAAAGATCAAAAGGCAAAACGGTGACAAAAAACACTTCTGTGATGTACTTTTTATATTTCTGAAGACAAAAAAAAAATAGTGAAGCTGAAATAGTTTACTTACTTTTCAGTCCTAATCTCTGACAGGCAGTCTTTTATAATAAAGCTCAAAAATGGAGGTAAAACAAAGATGGGATGCAGAGAGAGCATTGTAAGAGTTTCTAGCATCTTAATTGTCCCAACTGATGCGGGAAGACCTGATTAACCTGCTCTCAACAGGTGCTGGTTGGCAGTGTTTGCTAACAGGCCTTGAAACAATAAAATACATCAAAGTGTAAATGGATTTTTAAGCAACTATTTTTTTAAATGTCAACAAACAAGAAACATTATCGCTAAAATGCAGTTTTAATCAAGGCTTATAAAGTCTATCTATGCCTTCTTGTGGCTTCTCAAACATGGAAGGAAAGAATCAAAAATCTCTCTTTCTTTGTGTGCTATCAGGCCCAGCTCAAATGAACTCATCAAATGGGCATATGTCCTTAACCTCTGGTGCTTGGTTTACTTTAGAGGTGAAATATGCAATACCTAAAACACCTGTTTTCGGAAATGAACTGAGTTTCAAGTGAGCAGGGGTCAAAAGAATTCCCCTACCCCCTAAATCAAAACAAAATAAAAATGTACTTTTCTATGATCCAGAGTCAACAGGCCATTAGACCAGCCAGGAACCATCAGGGCAGAAGGCCAGCTAATGCATCAGGCAGCAGACGCCTCAGCATCTGAATTCCTCGGGATCCCTTTGCTGCAGTGCTGCAAAAGCCATGCTGGCGACTGAGAGTTTGGGCTCACTCTCCCTTTCCTTGGGCTTAATGGAGAGGTGCGCATAG